ATGGCTTGCTTTTAAGGGATGTAGAGACTGTGTGCTGACTCAGAAGCTCCACTCAGCAGGTGTGCTGTATCCTGGGAACATGGGTGCGAAATGAGATGATCCTGCTGCTAAGTACCAGCCTGGTGAGGACCAACCACTTCTGCTGGGAGTCCAGTCACTGGAGACTGAATGGCACCATCAGAACTGATCAGGAAAGCATCTCTAGGGACCCTAGCATCTTGTGTAATAAACAAGGACAGATGGTGTTTTCATCACTTCTCCTTTGTGAAGGTTCAACGTTTGGAAAAGAATCCAGAACTTTGATTTTTCTGGACGATGTTTACAAACTAGAGATGATGAGATTTTAGCTAAGAATAGAATCCTTGTCATGAGCATGGGGAAGAAAATATATTCTCAGGGCAAGTTAACCAAGTCCAAAAGAATTTAAAATGGAGTAAATAAGGAGAAGGAGAAAGCTACCCAGACAGACAGTCCCAAGCCCTCTGAAGAGTATGTCGTATAATACAGAAAAGAGAATTAGCGGTGGGGGTGGGGGAGGTCAATGATTCAGATGAGAAAATCAGCGTGAGATAAGTTAGGAAAAGTACTTTCGGACTCAAGGCACGGTGAAGTGAACTCTAGATCCTGACACAATCTGTTAAGTCTTTATACCTTAATGAGATGCTTCTCCAGCCTCAAGCAGGAGCCTCTTGTATAAAGAAGGACATAATGACTCTCGCTTGCTTGCTCTGAGAACTAAGGGAGGTGACATGTAAAAGAGCTTTGTAATCCCGGAGGTGACGTGCCAGTAAGGTTAGAACGACGACGACTTATTAACAAGAGGAGGAGAGGCAGCTAACGCTGTGAAAGTCTGTGGCTACAGTGAGAGGAGCCTTAGAGGGCAGCATTTGGGTGAGGATAAAGAGAGAAACAGGTGATGTCACGCCACCTGGCCAAAAGAGGGAATGTAATGGGAATTCCCAAGGTATATAGGATAGAATATTTTCATAAAACTTTTTATTATCTGAATTTCTGCTAAGACCCTTGTCAGATTGATAGCAGACATTTTGACAAATCCACAGCTCGTTGACCATTTTATTTTCCAGAAGATAGAAATGATGTAGGATGTTGCTATTCTGGACCTAATTCTGACTAGAATGGTAAATACAAATCCCAGGAATTTGGGAAGAAGCAGTGGTATCTCTCAGTTCAGGCTTGCCAGCAAGTCAAGGCCAGGCCAAGAGAGTTTTAGGAAGGCTGGACTTTAAGGGCAGGGAAAGAGCCATTCTTTAAAGGCCTCACTCTCTGGAAGGAAAAAGGAGCCACTTCAGGACACTCTCAAAAATATAATCCTAGCTGCACCATTACAGTTAAGCTAGTGAGAAACAAACAGATGTCCCCAAACTCTCTCAAATTGTGTTTTAAAAGACATACAAAAGATGGAAAGAAAGACTTAAAAATCAAGGCATGGATTTTTCAGAGTAGTCTCAGGAAAGTACAAACCTTGGACAAGCAGGACTGGATTTGGAAGAAAAAAGCCAAAAGATTCTTGTTTTTTCCTCAGGGACAAAGCTAAGAAGCTATGAAAGGCCAATGGCCTGGGGCCAGTGCCTTAGTATTGAAAGAGAGAAATATATTCTTCTTTAAGAATGAGCTGTGAATGACATTGACAAAATGTTAATAATTGTTGAAGCTGAGTAAAATAGGCTGACATATAGGAATTCACTAGATTTTTCTCTCTACTTTGTGTACATTTGAAAATTTCCATAACATTTTTCAAAATTATATATGCATTGAAAAATATAGAAAACAATTGATAACAGGGACTACAGTAGGATGAACAGTGAACTACAGCCACATCTGTATCCAAATTAGGAGGAGGGGAAAAAAAGAAGGGAGGAGTATCAGTGAGTACCATTTTTTTGGAATGACTGATAAATTCTTCGTTATGTTTACCTCAGAAACCATGCATGTATCAGCTTTGGGAGATGATCACTGTGTTAGTATGCTGTTTTTGTCACTTCTTGTAGCTGGAGCAGGTGGGAGGAGCGTTGGTGTTTTCAACAGATTTGCATTGAAGACAGAAGGCCCTTCCCCCGGGCCTTGAGGAAGGGGACACCGACTTTCTGTACTGTGGGTGGTGCCAAGAGAGGCCTCTAAGTGACACCAGGACCCTTGCGTCTGAGGCCAGCTCTGTACTCAGCTACAGCAGCAGTCTCTCGACCATTTTAGAAGCTGTTCTCATTGGCTTTAAGTTCTTCCTTGTGGATTTGCTGCCTCCTTGTGTTTATTAGAATAAAAATAAAAAGCAGGATTATGCGTGGAAACCAGGAAAGATTGAGAAGGTTATTCTCAGACTCCTTTTTCTTCCTGTTCTCCCCAATTTCTCAGTGTTGGAGTAGCCCCAGGACATTTTCCTCTATTTGTATTCACTCCCTTGGTGACCTCATCCAGGTTTATTGCTTCAAATACCATACATATGCTGATGACTCTCAGATGCCATGTCCAGTCCAGACCAGGCACCCAGCCTCCACGTTCTTCTGTCTGCCCAGGACATCCCCCCTTGGCTGTCCGGTATATATCTCAGGGCTCAGCATGTCCAAAATAGGATTCCTGATGTATCCAGATTCCAAAGTTCTTTTCATACCTTTGCTACCACCACCCTGGTTCGAGCCACCATCATCTCTCACCTAGACTACTGCTCTCCCTGATTTTCCCATTGTAGCCCTCATGGTCTTCTTAGCATAAGTTAAATCATGATACTTCTCTATTCAAAAACCTGCACTGGCTCCCTCTCCCACTTGGTAAAATCCAGTGCCCTTATAATGCCTGCAGGGCCCCGTGTGATCTGCCCTCCCCTCAACCTACCCTGACTCTCTGCCTTCATCTCTGGCCTTACTCACCTCACTCCAGCCACACTGGCCTCCTGAGGTTCCTCAAACCATCCCAGGCACATCCTTGCCTTGGGCTTTAAGCTGACACCTCTTTGTCCAGGTGTACTTTTGCAGACATTCATGAGCCACCTCCCATATTTCCTTTGGGTCTGTGCTCAAATGGCACCTTCTCAGGAAGTGAGGCCCACCCACTCTGACCATCCTGCTCTGGAATGGTGCTCGCACTTCTGAACCGCTTACCCTTACCACCCTTTATTCCTGTAGCACTTAACTACCTTCTGACATGCTCTATAATTTGCTTATTTATTTTGCTTACTGTTTGTTTTCACCTGCTGGAGTGTAAACTCCATGGGAACAGTGATCTTTGTCCTGTTCATCGATGCATCCCATGAGCCTAGAACAGGACCTGGCCCAATTAAGTTTTGATTAAAAGAACAGCATAGACTGTCAGAAAGGAGGAAGGGTTGGCAGTGTCAGGACAGCAGGGAAGCCTTGCAAGGTAGGAATTGAAGGCTCTCCTCTGACTGATGGCCCTTCGGGAGCATTGAGGGGTGATCCTATTGGATTGCCTTTTGTCAGGGCACCTGTTGGAGGAGTCTGCACTCTTGTGCATCCTGGGGATGCAGTAGGCTACAGGAGCCTTGAGGTTTCTGTTGTGAAAGGGCAGTTCCTACCATCTTAGAATGCCTTTCTCCAGCCAGCCCAGGAATGCTGTCCAGTGTCAGCACTGAGGTGGGTGCACTGAAGTGCCATTCACGTAGCTGACCCCATCCTGTGAACTCAGAGCTCGGCAAGAGGGTACCTGATGGCACAGGGCAGAGAGCCTCATGTCTGCATGTGGAAAAATACTCCGTAGCAAGCCTCTGTTACAAGTTACTGAGTAAAAATGCCAGTTTTAAATTTTTTTATAGTAGTTATCTAAGAGGCTTATTTGTTAAGCTCATTCTTGCTTTTAACTGTAAGTCAATCATTTTCTTTGCTATAATAGCTTTCAAACCATTTAATACCTGGTTTATAGATGAGAGAGTATTGGAATCATTTGCAGTTATAAGGCCACTAGGAGTTATTTTCTAATATTTTTAAGAAAATTGTTAGCTTGAGTTTGGTCATCTTTTTTTTTTTTTTTTTTTGAGACAGAGTCTCACTCTTTTGCCCGGGCTAGAGTGAGTGCTGTGGCATCAGCCCAGCTCACAGCAACCTCAAACTCCTGGGCTCAAGTGATCGTCCTGCCTCAGCCTCCCAAGTAGCTGGGACTACAAGCATGTGCCACCGTGCCCAGCTAATTTTTATATATATTTTTAGTTGTCCAGCTAATTTCTTTCTATTTTTAGTAGAGACGGGGTCTCACTCTTGCTCAGGCTGGTCTTGAACTCCTGACCTCGAGCAGTTCTCCCACCTCAGCCTCCCAGAGTGCTAGGATTACAGGCATGAGCCACCATGCCCGGCCGAGTTTGATCATCTTAAATGTTTTATTTTATAAACAATACATATTTACTTTATAAAAATATTATTGAACATGTATTAATCATTACACAATAATTTCTTCTGTTTGCCTCTTATGAAAAGCTGATTGTTACTTTAATAATTAACTTTTCTTGGCTGGGCGAGGTGGCTCCTGCCTGTAATCCTAGCACTCTGGGAGGCGGAGGAGGGAGGATCACTTGAGGCCAGGAGTTTGAGGTGGCAGTTACCTATGCTGGCACCACTGCACTTCAGCCCGGGTGGCAGTGCAAGACACTATCTCCCAAAAAAAAAAAATTTCTCATTTTCTTAAACTACTAGTGTTTGCTAATTTGATTAAATAGCACACTTATTATTTATTATAACTGTCTTAGAATTATTTTTCTCATTTGTGATAAGCCACGATGGGCCATTCTGATAAAGGCCCAGTGGAGGTCAGGGCTCTCTGAGTACCACGTAGGAGGTCAGGTCAGGAAGCTCAGCTCACCAAAGTCTTCGCATACTCTGCTCCCTGTGAACTGGGACATTGTCCTGGTGAAGCCTCAGAAGGGAGCCTGGAGTTGGTATTTGGGGGTTGTTTTCACTGCCTGGCCTGAGGTCTGGGTGACGGTGACAGTGCTGATTCTGGGGGCTGGGATAATAACTCAGTACTTTCCTTTCTCACAGTTGTTTCCTCTCTTTGCTCCTGGTGGCTGCTGTGGTTTGGAAGATCAAACAAAGTTGTTGGGCCTCCAGGCGTAGAGAGGTAAGCCTCAATGGATAAAGATGAAAGAACTCCTGTAATAGCTTTTTTCTTTCTTTTTTCTCTTAAGCAAGTTAATGTTAGCTATTTAGGGATAGCTGATAGCCGAATCCACAGTAAGAATACTGCTGCCTTTCTGCAGTGTATAGTTCTGCAGTATGTGGTCAGAAGACTTAGATTAATTCTACATAAAGTGTGATTAATTCTGCACCACAGGGTTTTAACTTCCTAAAAGGAAACTTAGTGTTGATTTAAAGATGCCAATTTTATCCTTCCTACCAGAACCCGGAGTCCTTGACTCGGGCTGGAGATCACCACAGCACAGCCTTCTTAAGAGACTTTCGTAAGAATGAGAGTGGAATCAGCCTTTTAAGCATCTCAAAATTTTATCATTATTTAAGGAAAGATAAATGTGCATCTAAGTTTTTAGCATGACTTGTTTTTAAATGAATCTTGATTTATTTCTAGAGCTCCATTCCAAAAGTAAAATAAATCAAGCAAATACTTACAATTGACAAATTCAAATAAATAGGTTAAAAATTACAACATAGCCAGCATGATAGTTTATGCCTGTAATCCTAGCACTTTAGGAGGCTAAGGCAGGAGGATCGCTTGAGCCCAGGAGTTTGAGGTTGCAGTGAGCTATGATGATGCCACTGCACTCCAGCCTGGGCAACAGAGTGAGATCCTGTCTCAAAAAAAATTACAACATAAAAACTTCTTTATTGCAACTTTCACTTGCGTCAATACTTTGCCTTTCTTTTAGTCATCATGTCAGTTGCATTGCTGCTAATGGTAATGGTCACATATATAATATCTAGACTTCGATGCTCTCCTTGGTTTTCTGTGTCTACTCATGCCTTTTTCTATATAAAAATGTATCTGTAGATGAGATTTAGAAGAGAATTGAAGTATCTAAAATCACAACTCACAAGCACTCAGTGCTATTCATAGAACATTAGTGTCTGTAACAGGGTTAAGAGAGGCTCCAGGATATGGGCCTCTTCCTGTGGGCCACCCATGTAGGGTGATGTTATCATAGAGGCAGTGTTGCATCCTCTTTATTATTATTATTTTTTTTAATTCAAGGGATAACATATTCAGACAGTTTTTAAATAGCTGTAACTGATAACATTTTAAAATCCCAATGAATTGTAGGATGTTCTAAAAAAATATAAGTTATCAAAATGGAGTAAGATAGAAGTAGGAAAATACTATAAGCTGGTAACCAGGAAAGGAACTGAGAACTTATTGAAGTATTACTGTCTCCAAGAAGAGCATTAGACCCAGGGAGTTTCAAGGTTGAGATGAGCTCATGGAGATAATGATAGCCTATTCCTCCTTAGGTGCTTATGAGAATTATTTCCAAAATCTATAAACTGTTCCAGAGCAAAGGAGAAGATGGGAAGCTTAAAAGATTCCCAGCTCATTTTATGCATAGAAACCTTGATACCAAAACTTGACAAAGACAGCACCAAAATATAAAGACCAGTTTCATAGTGATGTATGTGCATTAGTTTAGTTGCCAGTGTAATAAAATAATCATATAATATCAGAAAACCTATTAGAATATATGATATCAGTGTGTAAAAAATAACATCTAAATTCTTATTAGAGGCGAAGTAGTCATTTAGTCATTTATTGAAATTCAAACCCTATTCCTAATTTAATAACAAAACTCTTAGTAAACTCAAAAATATCTTTTTAACACTATGAAGAATATCTACATAACCAGCATCACTCATGATGAGAAAACACTAGAAGTTGTACCAATAAAATCCAGACAAGTTATGTCATAATAAGAGCTGATATTTGAGCATTTCTAAATTCCAGGTCCAGTTCTAAATGGTTTTATGTCGATTAGTTAGTTTAATCCTCATGCCAACCATATGAAATAGGTACTGTCACTAGCCATGTTCTATAAATGAGGGAACTGAGGATCAGAGAGGCAAAGTAACCTACCATCATCACGTAGTTACTAACAGACAGAACTGGGCTTTAAACTATGGACTTCTGCCTTCACAGCCCAAATTCCTAATCATCATGTAGTCCCCAAGGTCATGTAATTTTGTTCTGGATATTTTAGACTGAGCACTATGTGAAAAAGCAATAAGAAGTTTTGTTACTATTGGAAAGGAGACAAAATTATTATTTTCATGTAAGGTTATTGAGACTCAGATTTGCTTGCATAAAAATTAATACTTAAGTATATCAAAAATAAATGAATCAACAGGATTATTTGCAACATGAGAGAGAAAATAAGGAGATGAACACCCTGTAGAGAAAAAAGGTTAAAAAAAAAGTGTACTTAATATGCAGTTGATCAACTAATAAACTAAGCTTTTACCCTTATGATCTGAAATTTCTCTGTAACTGTGAACCTGACTGGTTTCATCATTTCTAAAATATCAGTCATGATTTATTCCCTCTCAGAATTGTAGAAGCAATGATTTGATGTTATTTGTAACAACAATAATAGTAGCAGCTGCCACTCTTTAAGTCCTTGCCATATACCAGAACCTGGTTCGTTATCTCCTGCACTCTTCTTAAAGGCACTAGAATGGAAACTGGAGCAGGGTAGGTCACTCTACTATGACCCCGGCACCTAGAATGACACAGAACCCAGAGATGGGTTGCTGCATATATTTACTGAGTAAATGGACCGACAGCTTTATGAAATGTAGAAATGTTATTATTGGTATTTTAAGAAAATGTTTAATGTAAAAATGCCGTTCTAGAACAGAGCCATGATCTATCCATCCCAAGATTCTGTCTCCTACAATAGTTCCAAGTAGATAGTCAAAGGTAGGCCTGTTTGTCTTCCATAGCATAACCTCAAAGCTTCAACAACATGCCCAGAAGATCTCTGACACCCTTAATGATATATGAATGGGCATTCACCATGTGTTGGGTGCTGTGCTGTAGTATCTCATTTGATCCCAATGACAATCTTAGGGGGTAGAAACACATTCAGAGAGGAGGGAACTGGAGCCCAGAGACTTGAAACACCTTCCTTAAGGTCACACAGCTAGAGAGTGTTGGAGCAGGGATTGACAGCCAAGCCCTCCCAAATCCAGAGCCCCTGCTTGTCCCTCTACTCTACAGAATTCCATGTTTGTTTATATTTTTAGCTTACACCACCTCTCTGAATGAAGAGTTCTCTCAGTTCCTATCTGCTGTGTAAGGAGGCACAGGTTTTTGTTGCTGTATGAATACCTGGTTGAAGTTTTATCAGGAAGAAAGAAAGCCCAACTTTAATCTAGTAATAGAAATATGAAGAGATAGGGCTACCTCATTTGACATATTTAACAAGCAGACGTTACAGCATTACATCCACAGTACTTTAGTATGTAACAGGGACTTTTTAAAAATATAACAAGAGTAGTGTTATCACATCCCACAAATTTTAATAATTCCTAATGTTATCTAATACCTAGCCCATGTCCAGTTTTCTTTGTCACAAAAGTATCATTTTGGACCTGATTTGTTTGAATCAGGAACGATGAAGTATTTTTAATATGTGGTATTAACTAATAAAATCCCCTCAGTACTTGTTGCATTAACACTTGCTGTACTATTTATTAGCAACTTCTTCGTGAGATGCAACAGATGGCCAGCCGTCCCTTTGCCTCTGTCAATGTTGCCTTGGAAACAGATGAAGAGCCTCCTGATCTTATTGGGGGGAGTATAAAGGTGAGAACATGATTCAAAACTTCCTATAAGTTAACTTTTTAAAACTCAGGCTTCTAAATCTGGGAAACCAGAGAGGGCAGAAAGGCCTTATTTCATTACTTCTTATTTCCTCTCTCTTCTTTTTTTTTTTTTTTTT